GTAATACTTAATATATTTATAACTTACGGCTCTGTAGCGCTTTGAAGTCGAATGGTTTATATTAGGACGGTTATTTATACATTTTATAATACTGAAGGTCGTGGCGTAAAAGAGGATACGGGTCACAAACTTAGCATGGAGATCTATACTCCACCGTGAGTGGTAAAATAGTCGAAGGTGTAGGGTTTTACGGCTACACCGGAATATTATCTTACTCATGCCGGGTTTTGTTAAACAACGTGGTCTATAAATAGAACGTATCGTTTAAAAACACTGAGTTCATTTGGGAAGCACTGACATCGGCGAGAAGATATTACTTAGGCCAGGCAGTCCGACAGACGAGGGGTTAAGGCCGTACCCTGGACTCTGTAACCACTAGTTATATATCACAACCGATATATCAAGGTACATCCTCTGATGTGTATTCTAATCATTGTAATACGATTGAGTCTATTTTTTTAATTTTCCTGAATACCATTTTGTAATAACTGGTGATTTTAACTTAAACACCTTCGACTGGTCATTTGATCCAAACTCTCAAAATCATAGGTCTGGTAATATCTTATATAATACTTATATCAATTTGTTAAAGTTAAAACAAAGTAATAGCATAAAAAACTGTATTAGTCGAACCCTAGATTGTATAATGCTTAGTGATCAAGCCGAACTCACTTATATTTACTTGTCTGATTCTCTGATTCCTTCAATTGAAAAATATCATCCACCAATGGAATTTCTAATTAAATTTGAAAAATTATTGTTGAGTGAGCATTTAGAGCCTCCTTATATTTTTAATTTTAAGAAATGTAAATTTAATGAAATTACGCAATTTCTTTCTAATATTGATTTCGATGTGAGTCTTGATGTTAATTTGTCTCTAGATGATATAATTATAAAATTTCATGAAATTATTTACCACTCATTCGATCTGTTTGTACCGAAAACTAAAATCGATAATAATTACTCCATTGTTTGGTCAAATGCTGAACTCCGAAACCTAATAATCGAAAAGAAAGATGCCCATAAAAATTATAAACTTTTTCCTTCTCTTGATAATTATTTTAAATTTTCTGAGCTTAGGAAAAAAGTAAAAATATTATAATTGAGTTGTCACAGTCGATACATTGCAGATATTGAAAATAGTATTTCATTAAATATTAAACCATTTTGGAATTATGTAAATTCTCTTAAGAAATCGAAAAACAATGTTACTGACTGTATGAAATATAATAGTAAAATTTCTAAAAATCTTTCTGAAACGGTAGATTAACTTGCTGATTACTTTTCTAGTGTCTATGTAAATAGCACTATTAATTCTAATAATAATTTTTCATTACCCAATATTCCTACTAATACTAATCATATTAACTTAAGTTCTTGGTCTATTGATAATTGTGACATTTTTGATTATTTAAATTCCTTAGATTTGTTTTCAGGGACAGGACCTGATGGTATACCATCAGTTTTTTTAAGAAATTGTAGTTCTATATTGTTGAAGCCTCTTCATTTTATTTTTAATAAATCTTTAAGCTTAGGTTATTTCCCGGATATATGGAAAAAATCATTTGTCACTACAATTCATAAAACTGGGGACATACATAATGTTACTAATTTTAGACCTATTTCAAACATTTCTATTATACTCTAAATGTTTGAAACCTTAATCACTAAAAAATTATCTAAAATTTTTTCTCAAATCATTTGTAAAAATCAACATGGTTTCAGACCTAACATGTCAATTAACACTAATATTCTACTTTATCAGTCCAAAATATTTGAAGCTTTAAACGATCGTGTACAGCTAGACTCAATCTACACCGACTTTCAAAAAGCTTTTGACAAGGTTCAACATAATTTACTTCTTAATAAATTATCTTCTTTTGGCATCCATGGAACTTTTCTCAATTGGTTATGGTCTTATTTAAACTGTCGTACACAAGCGGTTAAAGTTTCTCATTATATTTCAAACTCTTTTCAAGTAAGTTCTGGCGTACCACAAGGTTCCCATTTAGGTCCGTTATTATTCTTAATTTTCATTAATGATTTACCTTCTATTTTTGATAAATCGGTTGATATACTTCTATTTGCTGATGATGCGAAAATATTTTCTAAAATTACTTCTATAGCAGATGCTTTAAGATTACAAGCGAATTTGGATAAATTCAGTTTGTGGAGTCACCAGAACGGTTTACCATTAAATATAAATAAATGTAATATTATTTTTTTTTCTCATATAAATAATACAATTATATACGATTAAAAAATAGATAACTTTTCTGTCACTAGAGTTACATCAATTAAAGATTTAGGGATTATCTTCGATAATAACTTGTCTTTCACATCTCACATAAATCATTGCAGGAAAAAAGCTCTTAAGATGCTAGGTTTTATAAACCGAAATACAAATAACTTTAAGAACATTAATGCTTTAAAATTTCTTTTTTTTTCTCTAGTTAGATCTCATCTCGAGTTTGGGTCAACAGTTTGGTCACCAAGTTATAACTTTTCCATTAATAATATTGAAAATGTACAACTTAAATTTTCTAGTTTTTGAGTTATAAATTAAATATGCCATGTATAACAAAAAACTCATACAATATGTTTATTAGAGAATTAGGGTTTATGTCATGTGAAATAAGGAGAAAGGTTGCTGATATAATGTTTATTTATGACTTGTTAAATGGTCACATTCACTCTCCCGAATAGCTATCTATGATAGGGTTCAATATAACAAGTCACCGTTTGAGAAAAGTTAATTTATTTTATATACCGTTTAATAGATATAATTATGGCTCTTGTAGTTTCTTTCCAAGATCATTATATTTAGCAAATCAAATTGTGAATTATGTTGATATTTTTTTTTCATGTCACGTATTATTTTTAATCGTAATGTATATTTAGGTTTAAATGCTATTGCAAATTAATTTTTATATTCGATTTACCATTTGCGTTCATATTAATATTATTGTTATTATTGTATTATTCTTGATTTACTGATATTTTATTGTAAATCTATATTTTATTATTATTGATTCTATTTATAATCATCTTTCAATTGTATGAAAATAGTTTATATGTTATTACTGATAATTACTTAATATTATGTCATTCACTTCTACTGTATTTTCAAAAGGGTTTATCCCGTTTATTATATATAAATAAATATGTGGTCAGGAAAGAGGTGTCGAGTAGGTGTGTCGAGTTCAATTATATAGATATATATATATATATTCGGTGATATTGATTTGATTCTCCGGGTGAGTAAAAAGTACATGTTTTATTTAATAAGTTTTTTACAT